GGGGGCGAGTTGCCCCCCCCCCCCCCCGTCGCAGGGGGCCGGCTGGGAATTGCCTTTTCGCTTTGCTCCTACGGAGGGGCCCGTATCCCCCCTCCCCACCCGTGGGTAAAAGCCCCTCCCCGGGGTGGCCTCCGCCCCTGTTCCTCGTCCCCCGCGCCCTGCCGTGGCGTGTCCCGAGGAACCTCCCTCCCCGCCCGCCTCAGGCTGCCCAAACACGATCGATCGCTCCATCGCCCAGTCCTGTGGCCCTTCACACCTGTGCCCCCGCTGGCTGCCCGTCCCGTCCACACACGCGTTTGTGATCAGCTGCTCCGCCCTTAGGGGCACCCGTCACACGATCTGTCTCCTCCCGTTCCTCCTCCAGGGGCATGTCCTTTCCCTCCCCCCTCCTCCGTGCATTCTCCATCTCCTCTCTCAGTCTGTGGCCTGCCCTACCCTGAGGTACCCTGAGGTAACCTGAGTCAGACAGATCAAGGGCTTTTGACCCCTCTCATCCACAGATTAGGGAGAGCACCCTGGGCTAGAGAATCTGTGGGAGGCTGGCTCCTGAGTGAGGGCAAGACTGCATGGAACCCCTGAGAGCTTTTCCCTCATATGCCTGCCATCGCGAGGTGTTCGGGTGATGAAACTTCCATGGATACAGCTATGATGCTTAGGGCAGTGTTTCCTATAAACTATGTGCTTGGGCGGCCGCTCAGGAGAGATTCAGGTGCCACCCGGCCGGCACCATGTGTTTCTTTTGGTGGTGCACATCTGCACATGCCTTAATGCTCATAACAAAATGTATTCTGCACATGGATAGGAAAAATAGAGGGAATATTGCTCTAAGGGTATCCTCCCATACATATCGTTGGCCCCTTACCCAGAGCATGATTGCTGAGTAGCTGAGAGGGTCACGTGTTTGGGCCTGCGTGTTATCTGGAGGCATTTAAAGCAGTTTGGGGTGACCCCCTAACCAAGCTGGGCTCCCTCTTGAGCTGCAGCATCACCCCTAGATTGGGCCCTGTTGGAGATAAATCACTTGTGATCTTCCTTTCCAGACTCCAGAGCTCAGCTGTAGGAAACAGGGAGAGGCTGTGGTGCACAAGGTGACCGTAAGCCCCTCTGGCCCTGAGGATGAGCTGGCTCTTCTCTCTGGGATGCACACACTGAGGGCCTGCAGCCCTGGGAAAGGAAGATGCTCCGGACCACCTAGATTGGGCCCTGTTGGAGATAAATCACTTGTGATCTTCCTTTCCAGACTCCAGAGCTCAGCTGTAGGAAACAGGGAGAGGCTGTGGTGCACAAGGTGACCGTAAGCCCCTCTGGCCCTGAGGATGAGCTGGCTCTTCTCTCTGGGATGCACACACTGAGGGCCTGCAGCCCTGGGAAAGGAAGATGCTCCGGACCAGTAAC